TAAATGAATAAAAATGCATTCAGGATTGAAAAGGATTCATTTTAACATTCATGAATCCGTATTTCTGAAAATCTGAATCCATTTTAATCCATTTCAATTCATTTTCGTTTGCTGGGAGCGTCGGCTCTTTATTAATAGTAGCTTTTTATTAATAGTTGATTTACTTCATTAGAGCCTGTACAATTTTGAAATTATGTATGCTTATTTATACAGAATTTATATGTAGTACATAAAGAAATTATGAATATAACAATGTATTATCGAAATATTCAAAATATATATTTATGTAATATTTGCAAATTTTTAATCGATAATGTCAATTATCTCCAGGCCTACGAAACCCCATTAATATGTAATCACGAAAATTTGCCCAAGATCATCGTCTTTAATAACATCTCGTCGGTGTGATAAAGTCAATATTCGATGATAAATTGTCGAAAATTTTAAAACAACAGTCGATAACATCGGTACTCTTTAATTACCACCGAGATTCCAATGATAATCACAAAACTTTACCTAATATCGGTAATGTATCTTATTAATTGTAATTGTATCTTAATACTATCATACAATATATAATAATTTATATAATTTAATATATAAATAATATATAGCCTACAGACATAATTTGAACGTAATTCGTATTTGTTATGTTTATGCTAAGTAACTACAAATTTATGTATCAGGATTTATGTATCTTGTGTAAAAAACTGAAACAAACAAATATGAAAAATATATTTTCCAATAGATTGATATCCTGAAATTGAAACTTGACATTACCATCGCATGAGGTCTCTAAATCCATCTTTCAGTGAGAGCGCCACCGGCTGTCAGTGAATTTCTCGCGAGGAAGGTCACACGAGTGTCTTTGAGACATATCGGACGTGAGAGTGCTCTTCTCGTGACAATTTTCACGACCATTTGACGCGTGACGTCCACTCACTACTGCCGTCGATATGCTGCCTCGATTCCTCAAGCCCGTCGTAAATGTCAGCCAGCAAGGCGCAAAACTATTATCCACGAGCGCCACGGTAAAGTATCACTACAGTGAACCATAAAACTTTAATCTGTTTTCTAAGAAGTGAGAATCGGTCGGAAATTAATTATCATTAATATACCCTGTGAGAGTAATGTGTAACATTTTACTACCTTATGTTGCTAGAGATTCCATGTGCGGATAGCGATTCAGTGGAGCAATAAATCCACCTCTGAAAAGTTATCTTTCAGAATCTTATTTCTCATATAAATCTGTATCGATATATATTCTTTTTTATGCACGCGCACACACACACGCGCGCGCGCGCACACGCACATATATGTGACAAGTTCACATCCTCTTATATTAATATACAAGTCGCTAGTTATGGCTATATTTGCTATATCTCTTGGGATCGTTGGTTCATATGATGAATGCGAAAAGAGAATCTTTAATGACCTTTGACGACACGTACGGCGCGGTGGGAGAGATTAACAGATATTGCTATCATATATAATTGAACCATGAGTGCCGTAATCGGAACACTGTTATGCAACTGCAAATTATTCAGCTCCAATCCTGACATGTTACATTGGCCCATCGCATTTTCGAAACCTGATTGCGAAAAAAGAATAATTCCGATGCTTTGTTATACCTACATATTTTTATATGAATCTTTTATATGAAAAAATGAGCTATGAAATAAATTAAAATAAATATATTGAAATCAACAGATAAGAATTGGAGGAATTTTTAAGCGTTAATTGCAAATACAATTATTTTAAAGATTTAACAGAGTATTACTTTCTTAATTAAACTCTCACCTGGATTGAGTTCTAGGCAAATTGTTTTTTTTTTTTAAAATGTTAAAATTCTAACTGTATTATTCTTTTCGCAGCGCGATGCAAAAGTCAGTGTCATGGGAGCAAGCGGTGGTATTGGCCAGCCACTATCTTTGCTTCTCAAACAGTCTCCTCTTGTTACGGAATTATCACTATATGATATTGTGAACACACCCGGTGTCGCTGCCGATCTCTCACATATAAATACTCCTGCAAAAGTTAAAGCCTATAATGGTCCGGAGCAGCTCAAAGATTCTCTTAAAGGTTCTCAGGTATGTGGCATCATTATGATACAAAAGATTATATTAGTCAATATTTGATAGATACAGAATGTTTATAACATAAATATTTAATAGTTACATTTACAAATAGTTACTTTTATCTAACTCATTAGATTGAAATTAATCGATCTCGTTTTAAATTTTCACGATTTATTTATTCATATGCATTACTTTTAGGTTGTTATTATACCTGCGGGCGTTCCACGCAAACCAGGCATGACACGTGATGATCTGTTTAATACGAATGCCTCCATCGTCCGGGATCTTGCCGCTGCGGTGGCTAAAGTTGCGCCAAGGGCTTTCATAGCATCATCTCAAATCCGGTCAACAGCAAAGTACCAATTGCGAGTGAAGTGCTACAAAAGGCGGGCGTTTACGATCCTAACCGCGTATTCGGAGTGACTACTTTGGATATTGTCAGAGCAAACACCTTCATCGCGGAAGCTAAGGTATTCAATATAGCAATATACATACATAAAATAATCTTTAACTTATGTTCCTAACACAAACAAAATTACCTCGGCACTAAAATGGATATATACGTTACGAAAGTCACTATAGCAACCTTAATAAATTAAGACTTCATCTGTCTTGATCAACATATATTAATTATTTTTTTTTTTCACCTATTTCTCAAGCACATTCAACTTCAGATTGTTCTATATGCAAGGGATTAAACATGATAATATACATATGTATAAATAAGAAAGAAGATTAATAAAATTTAACAATACGTTGGAGATAAAGCCATATTCAATCAGGGATCTTGATGCTTAATATTTTTGTGTAAATTTTTAAACTTTCCAGTTTAAACAAATTGTACCTTGTATCAAGTATAGCTCTCTTTATTCATATCATTTGTGTTGAACATTTTTCGATCTATTTTCAATATTGTTAATAAGATTTATTCTTTGTTTTTAACATAATGATCCTGTATATAAATGTAATGAATAATTAAAGACGTCGAATGCAACGGTATTAATTTTCGTTCAATGAGATATTAATTGGAGCGATATACGTACTTATTTTCCATCTTTCGTAAAAAAAAAAAAAGAAAAGAGTTGAGATACCAACAATACTGAAATGGTTGTTTTTTTAGGGCCTTGATCCACAAAAAGTCAACGTCCCAGTCATTGGCGGACATAGTGGCATCACTATTATCCCGTTGATCTCGCAGTGCACACCATCGGTTTCCTTCCCAGATAATCAGCTGAAAGCGCTTACTGAGAGGATTCAAAAGGCCGGTACCGAGGTCGTTAAAGCTAAAGCAGGAACTGGATCCGCAACTTTGTCCATGGCGTTTGCTGGCGCACGATTTGGCCTTTCATTAATAAGAGCGTTGAATGGGGAAACGGGTATCATCGAGTGCTCATACGTCAAGTCGAATGTCACTGATGCCAAATACTTTTCTACGCCGATACTTCTAGGCGTAAGTAAAGACATCGGAATAAACTGCTTAACACTGCATCGATACATGCTACATTTTGAAAAGAAATGACTTCAAATAAAACATTATCTTCTCTTCATATACATGATTTGTTTTTTAATCAATATAAAAATGTATTTTTTATTATATTGTCTGTTCTTAGAATAATATGACATACAATTCAATTTTTAAGAAATATTCGAAAATTTCTTAAGAAGACTATTCCCGATAAAAATGTATAAAAGTTTTATTTTATTATGTAATTACATCATCATAAAAAAAAGATGAAAATTTTCATTTGGAATTTATTTGAAATTTCAGAAAAATGGAATTGAGAAGAATTTGGGATTAGGTAAACTAAGCAGCTTTGAGCAGAAATTACTGGACGCCGCCATCCCGGAGCTTAAGAAAAATATTCAAAAGGGAGAAAACTTTGTGAATTGTAAAAAGTGAGATCTCTGTCGGGCCTAGCTGGATAGAGCGTGATTTGTCGAATTGCGTGTGATGAGAATTGCCGGCCTTCCTTGCTCGCCCTGCAATTATGATAGATTATCACAACAATCGAAATTTTGTAATCCTGAAAAGCGCAAAAGTCCGTGAATGTATCTTCCATTTCTCTTGACCTGCAGATATGCATGTTAAAAATGTAGAATTGTGGACAGATGATCGAATATTAAGATTATTAGTATAAGTGAAATATTATTATTGAAATTGTATAGAAACTATAGAGAAAAATTATATCTGTAATAGGAACTTATGTAAAATAAGGAATAAAAAATTGAATTTTTCAAAATTGACATATCTGCTCGAGCAACTTTTTGTATTACGATGTAGGAAAAGTTTGAATAAACGCTCTTTCGACTAAACGTAAGAAAGTTTCTTCCTCTTTTATCAGATTTTACACTTGTATTTAATATGTGATATTACTACACTCTAGTTCTGTTCATGATTGATGTTGTTCATGATTTCAAGATTGGAAAAGACGTTGGCGTGCGTTATACAGAATTTGATATGGGTATAAATTCACAGAAATGTTTAAACACTAAGATCCGCTTAGACCGAATATAAGGTTTCTCTTATTTAATTAATTTTATATTTATTCTGTCATAAATTAAATTTAAGTTCAAATTTTCTTCGAATAAAAGTTCGACTGTATATTATGACTTTGATAATCAGATGTCATAAATTTACTTTAAAATCGATTTTTAAACAATAGACTATACAAGAAGATAAACTTAAATACGACGAAATTATAATCGATTCAATTTTCATCTTTTTCAAATTGTAAGAATTAGAAAAAGAAAATATTAAAGTTAAATCTGCATTGATAGAAATGAACATTAATCGATAGATTTATATGCGCATGACGGGAAGCCAGCGTCATCGTATGTAAACACCGAACCACAATAATATACAAGTAGACAACTTTGAAAGTACTTTGGACAGTAACGAATTCTCAAGCGTGGATACAATAATTCTCCCGTATCCGCAATTCGTACGAAAGTGTAGCACAAAATCGTGCTTTAAAATCTGATTAAATCTGATTAAATCGCGCAACTATAATAAAGAGTGCAAATAGATAGGTATTTAATTCATCGCGGGACGATTTTGTAAATAGTACACAGTGATTATCTAGATAAATATTTCATGACGAGACGCAAGCACAAACGATCGCGAAAGAAGGCTAAGTTTCTGAAGGTGCAAAAGTCTTCTCGGAAAAACATCGTCTCGGAAGCTCCACATCAGATGTTATGCGAGACCGACGACCGGACCGAGTTCGGAGTATCAGTTCGTAAATCCGTCAATGGATCTGACGATGGATTGCGAAATAATTCGGACAAAAATAAGAGGACATCGAGTGACTATAAAAAATTCGACGTCGCGCTTGAGAAAATCGGCGAACGTTTGACAGCGAATTGGCGTGAGTTCCGAAAGATCTTTGCGTATCTGCGGCAAGGAAATGGCGGGAAGACTCGCGGCGATGCCGACGGCGACGAGGTCGAAAGCAGCGAGTTCTTGTTACACAAGTACAAGAGGTTCCCCCACATCTCCATCTCGACATTGTCCCTGCCGAGCCTGCCCTCCGTGTTTTGCACATCTGCGACTTCGCCGAGGAAACTGAATCATCGGCACGAATCGAATGAATGCGAAAGATCGAAGCGAGAAACCGAAATTCCGCCGACGCCGGCGGAGTCCACGACGCCTCGCGTGATCGGATTGATGAAACGCTGTCGCCGAACGACCTTGACATTCAGAGATGATGACGAAGCCGACGAAGAAGAGGCGGCCAGGCACCGGCAATCGGCAACTCGCGCGCCGGATATCACGGAGACGGATCCGCTTTCGGAAATGAAGAAGGATGAGGAGCGGTCGCTTCTGTTAGATCTGTCCTTGTTCTATAAAATATCTCATCAAGACAGCCGCTTCCCGGAATCAACGACTGCTTCCAAACTATCTGGCCATGATTGCCGTCATAGCGACTCTCTGCAAAAAGTATACGTCGTTTATTAAAATAAAGTAGTATATAAAGTAGTGTAAAGTATTTCTCGCTTACGATGTCGTAATTCAATATATGCAGTGAGGGAAAATATAATCTTTTTTATGGAGAATTTTATGAAATTGTGCTATATATGTTATTTTCACTTGTTCAGTTCCCGATTGAAGTTGCTGCCCTTTAGGATTCAGATGTGCACTTTACTAATTTAATTTTTTTTTCTCATGATAATTCAGAATTTCTTTCTCTGTATTTTCAAATAATTAGACAGAATATCACTGGAATGGCTCTCATAATCACCAGGCACCTCAAACAACGATTCGAGACACTCCCACCCATGTATTTCAACGAAGAAACATTACCCGTATGATAATCACATGGGTGATCACTATTAGCATTTGGCTGATAAAAAAATTGCTGCATCTCGTAAATGTCGTAAGTTTCTTATATAATTTGTTTAAAATGAATATTCTTATTTCCTCACTGCAGCTATATTGAATTACAGTCAAATTTTTCTATAATGCTTAACATATTGAAATGGAACAAATTCTTTGGTATACTTTGGTATTCTTAGCACTTGGATAAGTTTTTTAATCATAGAAATAATTTTATAAATAAATAATTACACATTTTTTAATTACACATATATGTCTGTACGTAAATATTTTTTTATTACTTATATATAAATATGTTACTTGTAACATCTGTCTATTTTAAGTAAAATTGATAATCAATTTTTTTTTACAGGGTTACAAAAAACTGCAACAGAAACTAATCGTTCCTTCTTCGGTGGAAACAATGCGTTCCGAAAAGGAAACGCTGCACATAATGTCGAAAAGGATGACGCGACTTTCGGAAGATTTCAACCAGGTAAGATTACTTTCAAATTCATTATTTGGTTCTACACCGTGAGACTAAATTTAAAATGTTCAAATTATATTCTTATTTCTTTACGAATTTTTGAAAAAAATGTGTGATAAATATTTTGTATATTAAAAAATCTATATATTTTGATATTACGTATATCTTTTTGATCCAACGTAGATGCGAATAAACACCGAAACCACTCTTAATGCTCTGACAACCAATATGAACATCTTTCGCGAAACTAGTAAAAAAATGACGGAAGATAATACGGCATTGCTTTTGGAGCTAAAGAAATTACGTGGAACGCTACAGGAAATTCGACTGAAATCTTCGCAACAGATCCCCTTACCTTCTTCGTGTTCTTTTTCTCGTTCACCTCCACCTCCTTCTTTTTCTTCATCTTCTCCTCTTTTTCGTCCTCCTCCTTCTCCTTCTCCTCCTCCTCCTCCTCCTCCTCCTCCTCCACCGCCGTTACCGTTGATACCCTCCTTGAAATTTCCTCCACCTCCTCCACCACCACTACCACCACCACCACCACCACCACCACCACCACCACCACCACCATCACCATCACCACCTCCGCTACCTCTTTCATTTCCTACAGAAGCGCACATCTCGGAATTAGAACCTTCAATACCACTCTCACCTTCTCCGCTTCGCCCTTCAGTTTCCTTGCAATCTCAAATGTCATTGATACAACCGACGACACCTGGCAGAAGTAGTAAGACTAGGACACCCACAAGAAAGTGTTCCACACCATTGTGCAACAGGCCTAAGATCACCGTCGAGGACTTACTGAAAGTCACTTTGAAAAAGGCTCCACAAAGTATCAAAGTACTGTCTAAATTCCGTAAATTAGTAAAATTGCATCCATCACGATAAAATCGTGAATATAAACATCTAAGAATACGTATGTGTGTGATTGCTTAAATCTCATAAGATTTTTATTTTTTTAATTAATGAATGCAAATCATACGAGAATCAATCTGAAGTTCGATTAGGGTAGATTCATAAAAAATTAGATCGTATCAGAAAGTTGTAATTCTCCAATAGCCTTCCCTTTTAAGGGAATGTGTAAATCCAAGAGAATGTTTAGAAATTAAAAATAAGTATATCAGAAAGAATTTTATACCGGAAAAAATTAGAAATGTTTTTTATATTTACATTTTTTAATTGTAATGCAAACGAAATTTGTTTTTGAAATTTTGTTTCTATCCTTGCTGAATAAAAAATTAATACGCTGGTGTACGTATATGCGAAAAATTAAAAGTTCTTTTTAATATAATTCAATGTTCATCCATAATGAGTATAAAAAATAAAAAATTGTTCTATTCCATACATTTCAGGAAAATAGACGAAATACTGTACCAGGCCCAAGAGGTCCGATCGTGTCCTTGGAAATGTTGCGTAACGTAAAGCTGAAATCCGTGAAGCGTAGACCTAACGCTCAAACTGGAAGATCACCGAGAAACGGTCGAGTCGTTAAAAACCGAGTTGCATCAAATGTCAATCTCTCGCCGATTTTGACTGGTTCGGAAGGCAATTTGGAGCGAATCCTGCGGCGAGTAGATCTAAACAGGCCGAGGAGACTCTTATCCAGCTCAAACAGCTTCCGCGAACGCGATTTCACGAGGGAGACGCAGTGTCACTCGTTGGAAACATTGGCGTACAGCCAATCACAATCCACGCTTGAATGACCACAATATCATGTATATGAATTGTGATACAAGAAACATCAGATACAAGAAACTTATAAATCATAGAATTGTTAAAGAAAAACTTGCGGTATACATTGAAATAATTTATTTGCTTGCATATTATAAACGTATTAGATATAAGAACTTTTATAAAGATTTATGGAAAGAGAGAATTTATAAAAGAACTCTCTTTATCAACTTGTATTATTAAATATAAGTATACTATACGTAAGTGGGAAAAATTAAGAAAAAAATTAATTTGTTACGATATATAACGCAAGAAATTAAATTCTCGTTTCTGATGTCATAAGCCGCGTTCCATTGCACGCATAAAAACGATACCTTATGCGTATTATACGTGCAACGGAACGCAATCATAAGATAATATGACTGCAATGAAAGACCAAAAGTCTAAAATTTAAATCGCAGACGTATGACATATTCGTCATATAAAATTAAAATATCTAATTTATATATTCAAATATTTAATATTAAATTAATATTTAACACAAAGAGCTCGAAAGCTCTTTGCTGTGAAATTTTTCTACAATTGGCTGGCCGAAAATTTAAATCGATCTCTTAATAAAACTGTGACCAAGGCATAGATTTATAATTACTTTATTTGTAGCTTTCATGTGTGTAGTTTTACAGAAAAAAAAGATTGTATCCAGTGTATTCGCATCGACTGTAATACAGAGCGTAAGAACGCATGCGGATCCAAGAATGTAAAATCAACAATTCCTCCGAACGATGATGAAAAATCAAAAAAGCATGGCTTCGTACTATTAATTGTTAATAGCGATTAATTATTCTTATTGAAATCATTGAAATCGAATAAAGGTGGTTTGAAATTTAGATAGTTTTCGAAATAATTCAGATGGTCTCCGATTTATATATTGTACAAACGTATAATCGGATATTGGGATAACTCCCCAAAGGGCTAATAATTCATCGGCGTTCAGAGATCGCTACCACCATTCGTTGCCACGTGACGCGTTATTTTTTTTTTTTGCTTTTATGTAGCTAAATTCCTTAAAACACTTTGCCGCACAGATACATGCTATGTACTTGAGAAATATATTTATATATTTATATATATGCGCTTGCGTTTTACAGCCTACGACGGCATCCGCCTCGCTCCGCAGTTCTTAATTTAGAGCTCTGTTTACCTTGCACACAGTTTTCGCGCGATTTAATCCTCTCGATATCATGTCATATACTCGAGTTAATGCTACCCGAGTTCCTCGGATGACTCCCCCGCGTCGAGATTATTTCTTCGTTTCTTTTTCTGCTTCTCTTTAGCCTATTTATTACGTTCTTACAATTACATTCGCAAATATACTTACTTACTTTACGAGAGCCGGTTGATATTATTTTGAATTATTCCTCATAACGTGTGTAATTTGTAACATTATCAATTTTATCGTTACGATACCTAAATACAGGGGCACGATGGACACCAATTATTTTCTGCTTTTTCGTCTTCCTCGCGGAGATTGCTATCCGCGTTTTTCTCGCCAAATTATGCTTTTCTTGCTGTTGCCGAACGTCTCGTTTCTCTGCTGCGCTTAAACTCGGCGTCTCCTCTCCGTCACGTTATCAGCGAGAAAACTGAGTGAGCTTAAATGGATTTTGGTAGTTCTAGCTATATAATAAGTAGATAAGTTTAATGCGTAAAATGGTCAGTAGCTAGCTAAGCTTACCTCATCGATCTGAAAAAAGGATACTTTTCACTGTAAATCTCTACGATCCCGACAGACTCCTCATTACAAGAACAATGGAATGTTTCAACGTAAAAATCGATGGAATGGCTCGTCGATGAATCGGCGAATGGACAATTACAAATACTGATTCCGACTATCGTCCATCCGGAA